TCAATCACCCTACATGCCAAAGTCACTGGGAAAGGGAGCCACGATGAAGCCTGTGGAAGCACAGTGAGCCGCTGCCAGCCGGCCAGTGCACCGAGGCCGCTGGAAGCATGTGGTCCAATCAAGGAGTAGGCGCTTGCTCCTTCCCCCCACCTCCTCCCACCTGGACTTCAAGTGAAACAATGTTCAAACCAAACAGAAGACTACATTAGAAAATATAATTCACCTCACAAATTACAATATTGAAAATCCTCATTTTCTTTCAGTTTAAACACAGTGGGTAATCTATGATGCTCAAAGCATAGCCATTAAAAAAAAAACTTCATCCAAATGCTCATAACAGCAAGCCTATATTGTATAATTGTGAGCACATATTGTATGCATCTTCCATAAACTCAACAAAAAGAAAGTTATATTGATATTAGTAGTTCAGATAACTGTTGAGAAACTAGCTTTCAATTCTACGTGACAGCATGAATAACACTGAACAGACAGAAGTAAATGACGGGTTGTGGCAGCGCTCTTTATAACATGTGAAAAAGTGGGCTGGAGGCTAGCGTGCTTCATTAAGAGCAAATCGGAGACACAAGGACTAGACAATGTAAGAATTCCAACTAGTAGAGAATGAAGTTTTCAGCACACATATTTGTCTTTTTCTTTTGTTTGTGAGTTTGTTTGCAAGACAGTAAAAGATTGATTTTAGTAAAGTAATATAACTAAGATGCTGGTTAAAGATATTTTATTGAAAAGTACAGTGGCGTGAGGGATGGATTAATCTGTTTTGCTAATAATCAAGGCTGCATTTAAACATTACTAATGGTGTTCAGGGTTTGCAGGTAAAGATAATTATTTATCTTTGCAGCAGCCTTGCTTTCCTATGGGGTAAGAAATGGACCCTTCAATTATGTCAGTTATACACATACAGAAAGCATCCAGTGCTCAGTCATTATTTACTTAATCTTAGTCATTACTTCCTTATTCATTCAATTAACTCTACTGGGTGGCTGTTAATCAAGCCCTGTGTTGGTGGTGGGACTGACTGAATTTGAAAGCCAGGAAAACACATATCTTGATCTCATGGCACTGTGAGTCAATTTCATGACTGAAGCCAGTAGAAAAGCAGAAACTGCTCAACGAAAATTTTAGAGGCATTTTTATCACCATGTCAATTTCATACATCATGAAATTTCAAATATGGTAAGGTGTACGAAATTCCACTATGAAAGTCATCAGGAAAGATAAGGGGTTTTCTTTTTCTTATATAAATTACAGCTAGAAGAAGGATGTGTGGACATGTGAAACCATTCATAAACTATCATCAGAATTATCACCACTACAGTTCTGAGTAGAAGTCATCTATGTTTAAATTAGTTTGGTCAGGTTTAATTTCTGATTGTTTTTGGAATGATAAAATGTGCTGCTTTGTTATGTTTGGTTTACTCTTCATAGAATTACAGCCCTATTCCAGAAGATGTCATTCTCCAAAAAATGTATTTGATGCTACAGATTTTCTACTAAGAAAAGTTTGTCAGATATCTTAAGCAAATGAAAAAAAAGTTTGTGCAAAGAGTCTCTTGATCATCATAGTCATTTGTAACCATATTCTTTTCACATGTACTTTGGAAGAACAGGTCGTTTGACTACTCAATTTGAAAATTAATTTGCTGCTTTAGAAAATATAAAGAAACATGAATTTTCATGGAAATATAATTTATCAGAAAGCTTCTCACACAAACAGTTTGAAAGCAGATGTGTTAGTTCAATGAGCACGAAACCATGTCTGGTATCAGTACATGGAAAAGGAAAGTTATTTTATTATGAGCAAACACAAATTAGTCTGGTATGACACAAGGAATTATAACAAGAACTGGTCTTGCTAGTTTATAGCTTGATAAAATAGATATTACTAATTTAATGACTTTGGAAAAAATTCATTAGAGCTCCTAATTTTCCATATGAAAACACTAAGCAAGTCAAGTTTTGAGAATTTCCAATCTTTTCTCAAGAGGAGGGGCAGAAGTCACAGCCAAGGAAGGAACCTAGGGTCCAGTCTGGCTAGATTCACTGCTTGCATTGCCTCCATAGAAGGAAAGCAAGATAAATTTATGCAAAGAAATGGACCAGACATTCTATACCTAACTCAGAAAGTATGGGGACAGACGGTGACCTGGCCTCAGGTCATTTTACACAGAGAAGCATTAAAGGATAACTGAATACAGGTTCCTCTCTAGGAAAATTCAACCGAAAAGGATCTGGAGTGAAGGATATCTGGCTAGTTGGATGAAGAAAAATACAGTAAATGGGAGTGTGGTAGCAAAACAGAAACAGATTCATCAGAGGTCTGTCCTTCTGGAACTACCCAAGCTGAAGAGAGCTGTTTGTCCAAGTTGATGCCCTGGTCACCAAGCAGTCAATACCCAATGCCTGGCTGATGGTGGTGGCGGGAGTTTGGTCACTAAATCGAGTCTGACTCTTGCAACTGCATGGGTGTAGCCCACCAGGCTCCTCTATCCATGGGATTTTCCAAGCAAGAATACTGGAGTGGGTAGCCATTTCCTTCTCCAGGGGACCTTCCTGACCCAGGGATCAAACCCACATCTCCTGCCTTGCAGGAAAATATACTTATTTACCACTGCCCAATGAAAGCAGGAATCAGCAAAATACAGCAGGCCAAATCCAACTCACTGTCTATGTTTGTAAGGCCTGTCAGCCAAGAATAGTTTATACACCTTTAAATGATTGTGGGGAAGAAAAGTCAAAACAGAAACATATGATGACGCTGGAGTGGAAATCACGTGAAATTCAAATTTCAGTGTTGATAAGTACAGGCGTTATAATGCCCCAGCCTCTCCTCAATTCAGGGCTTCTTTAAAGGACCACATTCACAGGGTGGGCTGAGTCTGTTGTGATGGTACCAACCTCTCCATCCGCCCCACTCCGCATCTTCTTTTCTCGGATGTTGACCTCTATATCACTCCCTACTAAATTTCCTTCATGACAAACTCTGCCTCAAGAGTTTGCTTTCCCAGATAACTCAGCCTGTTAGGCATGTAATTAAGAAACATGGAGAGAGCTTAAAAGCAACAGCTGAAGGAGCTGAACATAATACGACAGGGGATATGGCAGTGCAGGGCTATTTTCCCTTGTAAGATGTCTTGTACTACTTGAGATTTAAAATATATACATGTATCTTAAAATAAAATTTAAATGTAATATTATAAATAGGGAAAATAATAAAAAATGGTTTCCCCAGAAAAGCCCTTATAATTGTGGGTCAGATAGTTTTCCATCCCACTTTATTTGCATTTTCCAATCGTCAAAACCACGCTCTGGGGAAGTTACTGACAGACCAGAAGTCCAACTCTCTTACCAAATTATGTGCAAACTGTTCATATCTTCTTGCTCCTCAGTCTTCCTTGCACACACGCATGTGCTCACTCATATTCATTCCAAACACAATCAGCTGCTGAATTTTTTCTTCCCTGCTACCACTCTCCATTATCCAAACTTTGGAAAAGTAGAAGGTGAGCAGGACTTATTAAATGCATCTGTATAGCTGAATTATTTAGTTAGATTAATCATTTAGTTGATATGTGGATTGGGAACTCAATCAACAAAACATATTTTAATGAGATGTGGCACCTTCTACCATATGGAAAACATTTGAAATGACTCAATCAGATCCAATTCATATTGAGTATTTCATAAAGACTACCTGTTTCAGTTAAAATATCTCTTATGGTTCTTAGGGTCAAGAACCATAAGCTTAATAAATACACTTTTTAAAGAAAACCAAGTCTATCAATGGCGATGACCTACCAAACAAAGGTTTATGTTCATTTTTAAAGGATATGGAAAAGATCTAGAACTATAGGTCATTTTGGACAAAAAGGAAACCAAGATCCTTCAAATTTTCTATACCACTAAATAACAGTCAAAACTTCAGGTCTTGAAGGCACTGATGATCAGCAAAGTGTATAGCAAAAATGAAATTCTTGTCACAGCCTCACACAGTACCATTAATATATGTCCCCTTGGGAATATAACTATATAACCTCATATATATGCATCTCAGACTTTTCATCTGTAAAACTGAGCTGTTCACACTAAATAATATACCAGTGATCATCAGTTGCATGATGGACTCTGTTTAAAGGATTTTTTTTTAATAGACAAAGGATAATACCATCTGATGAGAGATAATCTTGAATGCTTAACTTCTGTCTGGTTGTTGTCTGGGTTCTTCTTCTTCTGGTTACTGTCTTTAACTTACTATCTAAAGAATGTATTAAATTTGCTGTAAAGAGCAACACTGGGGAAAAGATTTTTACAAATGGAACTATTTCCTAGAGTGGATATACTTTCTATGAAATTAAGATGTCTTTCCGAGGCATGACCCTCATTTCATGTGTCATGCTAAGTCCATTTTATTTCATATTTGAATTTAATGAGATTTGAGAAATTTGGTCTTCTCAAAAGAGAATGTTAATTACATATTGTTTTCATTTGTGTCACTTGAAATAATCAATAAAGAATTTTTGAACTTTAATATTTCAGCAGGGTGTGCTATATTCTTACATACGATCCTATGCATCTATATAGGGTTCATTGGCCAAATTCTCTGCAGAAATAAAAGGATATCACCCAATTTAAACATAAAGTAGCCTTTCAGCAAACAACTGCTAACAGTCAAATTGTTGTTCTGTGGCAAAATGTAAAATCTAGTTCAACTTCCTTGTTACAATCAGGAAACATGTTTGTATATTTTCTTTCATTTCTGATTCTAGTTAAAATGAAAAGCACATTATAAACGCAACTTTTGCTAACAATTCATAATAATCATGGGGTGTACAAAAAAGTTTTAAAAAGTCACAAACACCAGTAAAGAAGGCATACATCTCATACATCTACACATCTTTTTACTGTTTTGAGAAAAAAAAATCCAGTATAATTCCCTCATTTGAAACTTTTATACAACATCTCAAAATATATTGTGCATTTTACTTCAAAAATGCATTTTATTAAGAAAAAAGAAGGAACAGATTACAAATCAGGGAATGAAAGTCATGGTGTATGATATATCAGTGCATTTTGATGCCATAATGTTAAAGTTCCTAGCAGTGCAGACCACAGAGTACTGTGAGGCTTCACTGTCTATAAGCCGGTCTACCTTCCAGCTCCCAACCAGGCTAATACTGCTACTAAATAACCAGAACATGTGTAAAAGATTCAGGACTGTTAAGATTGTATTCAGCTTTGCATCAAATGAAAACTACCATTTTGGTGTTCAACCCCTTGGCAGCTACCAGAGGACTCCAAAGAAAAAGAATGCCACGTATCCATATAGGTCTTTCATAAACCATGGTTAATTCATATCCTTAAGATTTAGTCAAGCATTTATAGAAACATCAAAATGAAACAGTGCTATGAGAAAGGACAAGCAGGTTTTATAAGGAGAGTTAAGAGGGAAAATAAAGAAAAAAAATGTTCACTTTACATATTTCCAAATTGTTCTGGTGCAGACAAACTAAAGCACCTAATTTTTCCTTGGCAGACACCTGGAAAGTATGAGCATAAATGCCAAAGTGCCTTTGCGCTATAATTGGCTTGTGGAATTCAAAGATAGCTACATGAAAGCATCTTGTTCACATGGCCTCAAAGGTAATTATTGCAATGGTTTCATAAAGTGATTGATAATTATTTGAGTTTCAGGCATGTATATATCTCCTAATCAGAATGTACTAGTTAGTAAGTTATGTTGATTTTTGGTTCTTTTTGAGAAATTTAACCCATCATCATAAATGAGAAGAACTGAAATGATAGACTTAGAATATGACATATAATATGACATCACCCCTTAGAAGGAACACACTTTAATAACTCTACTGGTTTTGCAAAAAAAGGGGGCATGATTGAAGCTTATATTCCAAAAGTATGCCCTGGAGATAAGTACATAGCTAAATATATGCCTGAAGTGGGGGATATAATTTAGAATGAAGAATGGAGCTTACATGTCAAATTGTCTCTTTTTTTCTAATACATAAAAAGATGCTCCATGGTATATAGTGAATCGAGATCAAAGAAAAGTGGGTGATATAGTTTAGAAAAACAGAATTATAAACCTATAAAGAAAACTTACATAGGATTTGGGGGAAATATTCTCAGAAGTACATTTCATTTGAGTCATTACAGTTGTAAATAAAAAAATAATTCTTTGCAATGTTAAGAATTGTGTGTGTATGTGTTTTTTATCAACAAGTTTACTTGTAAGCATTTCACATTCTTTGGGAAATGGGCATTAACCAGGTTCTTAACTACTACCAATACCAAACCATGATAACATTAAGCAGAAAAGTTTTAAAGGCAAAACATCACATACTGATGACCAATGCACTTTCTGAGTCTTGTTACATACAAATTTTATGTTCAGAGCTGGAGCCTGACACGCAAAACCTAATGTTTTCAAAATCATTAAAAACAGTCAAATCGAAATAGATCAATACAAACAAACCAATGAAAACAGAAACATTTTTCCAGACTATTGATAAATTGTATTGAATGCAATACAGAGAAAGGCAGAGGGGTTTATATACTTTTGGCCACTGAAGATGCAAACGCCAGCCAAACAGGATCTTAGAAGCATTTCCAGGTCTATGAATAACACCATGGGGACACCAAAGCAAACACAGCATATGTTCTCAAATAAAGCAAGGTCATTATAGTCCAATTGTGATTTTCACCTCTAACACAAGTTAGGTAGCACGTGGTTGAGAGGCTAGCGCTACGGTTTTCACACTGAAAAACTGTAGCTCTCAAGTGAGTTAAACTTATGTTTTAGATTGTATCAGAATGGCTGGAAATTAACAGCAATAGCTAATCCTTGTTATACAGAATGACCACTAGGGGAAATAAGTCAATGGATGAGGCCTCCTGAAGCCATCTCGTGTCTGGATATGGCCACACGGCAGTGCTGCAAATCCATCGCCTGTACATTCAGTGTAAGAACTTGTTTTTTGTTCTTTGAGAGCCCCTGGCTATTAAATCAGGCTACTGTAATTATATGGCAAATCATCTCTGCCAATCAGAAGAAGTACTCTTTCTGATTTTCACCGACTGCATTTTGTATATTAAGCTCACTTTTCAAAACAGCCTCAGCATTGTCTACATTCTCTGACCTTTTTGCCTCATTTCTTTTGTATAACCTTTTCTGCTGATAAATGCGGACAGCTATGGCAGTGATGCACAGCAAGATAAAGATCACAACAGCTATCAAACCTAGTGAAAGAAGAGAAAAGAAACACAAAATCAGAACCGTTGTTCAAATAGAAACTGTATAGACTTCATTGTTTAAGAAGTCATAATAAAATTATTTTCTACCAAAATCAAGCATCAGATATATGTAAGTTGGAAATATCAAAAACCTCAGGCATTTCTGGATCAAGTAGTATCAAAATATGTTGAGTTTATTTCTGAGTTCTGTCAGTCTTATGGGCTCACCTTCATTTATTCTGAATGTATAGTATATGGATTATTTAGTGTATTTGTATACATAATTTTTAATAACATATTACCTACATGTCTCTAAGTCCATGGGTCACCTCATATTAATACCTAGACAAGCTTAGTTATTTTGAAACTATATAGTAGTAGTAACATCATAAAATAATCAAATGTGTTTTTAATACTTAAATATGTGAACATTTTAAAACTGAACTTTAGTTGATTTACAATGTTGTGTTAGTTTAAGGTGTATAGCATGATTCCATTATACATATATATATGTGTGTATATATATACACACACATACATGTATATCTATTATTTTTCAAATTCTTTTCCTTTATAGGTTATGACAAAATATTGAGTAAAGACCCTGTGCTATACAATAGGTCCTTGTTGGTTATCTATTTTAGATATAGTAGTGTGTATATGTTGATCCCAATCTCTTAATTTATCCCCTTAAATGTTAACATTTTAATGAGGCTGATTATCAATAATTTGTTGTATCCCTAAATAGCAAGAACAAGTTTTATATGAACAATCCTGACTATGAAATATATCGATCCTGATACATAGATGAGATTATGTCTATATGAAGAATATTGATTTTTTGAGACATCTGATTGTAAATAAAAAATTTGAATACCACTGTGGTTAGCTATGCTAAATGGTTACCAATTCTGGTGTTACGTTAAGTCAGTTATCTTCAAAGTGAGATCTCTGAATCCTTGATGGTTCCTGGAACACTTTGAGGAGGCCCATAGGGTCAAAACTATCCATAATAACTCTAAGATGCCTTTTTCACTGTGTTGACATGTCCACTGAGAGAACAAAAGCAAGGTCAGGTAAAGCTCCTGGTACCTTAACATGAACTAAGGCAAGGTCACCAACCTTTGAAAGTGGTCACTGAATTCATAAAGTAAGCAGGCACTGCACTGCCAGCTTCATTTAAGAATGCCCTTGATGAAGCACTAAAAATTACACATTTTGCCAAATTGTGACCTTTGGCCATAAGACTTTCTAACATTTTGTGTGATGAAATGGAAAGTATTTGTAAAGTACTGATACTTCTAGTGCAGACTGAAGTATGATGGCTGTCTCCGGAAGAAGGCCACCGTGAACATTTCAGTTGAGTTGTGAGCTGAACTAGTTGCTTTTTCCTGTAAAGAACACTGTTTTTATTGGAAAGAACGACTGACAGATAAACTGTGGTTGTTTTAACTTGGATATCTGGCAGAAATTTTCTCTAAAATGAAGTAAATCTGTCACTTCAAGATAAACAACTGACAGTGTAGGATGCCAATGATCAAAGCCAAGTTTTCAAATGAAAAGAATTTGGAAATCTGTTGTCTGTCACAAGTTTGAGAGTTCCTCATACTTAGACTCTTCTGCTGAAATCAGTGGCTATGTTAATGTAGTGTTTTCAGATGAAAATAAGTACAACGGAAACAGCAAGGTAGATGGAGTCTCATACCATAAAACAAGGACTCTTTGCTTTAGTTTAAAGTAGGTGTAAACAACTCTAATTACTCCAACTGAAGCCAAAACTTCAAAGGTCCTCATCAGTCACAATGGATTCTCGAGTACATGATCTGATGGGCAGATTGACTACAGCCAATAATATTGCCAGGGGCTAAGCTGATTTTTGGCTATGTCAGCCTTATCTGAGAGGGATAGCAGAAACTTCAAAGGTCCTCATCAGTCACAATGGATTCTCGAGTACATGATCTGATGGGCAGATTGACTACAGCCAATAATATTGCTAGGGGCTAAGCTGATTTTTGGCTAGGTCAGCCTTATCTGAGAGGGGTAGCAATTCCTTGCTGATAGATCTAACATAAATCTGATAAGTGAATTCTCTATTGAAATCTGAAGAATTTTCTAAAGGATATAATTGTTTTATTATTGTTATATTAATAAAGAATAATTGAAATCAGAATATCATATACCATTTAGCATAGCTAACCACAGTGGTATTCAAATTTTTTATCATTTGTTGTCATATATTTTGCTTCTCATCTTAGAAAAGTAATAAGTTGCTATCAGTATTCTATTGCTTGGTTATAGGCCTCTGGTTTAAAGAAAGAGATCGTAAACCATCTCAATGTAGAAAGTCGATGAAGTAGGTAGACAGTAGGCTGTGTTGCTGCGTTGCGTTCCATCATGTCCAACTCTTTGGAGGCCCATGGACTGTGGTCTGCCAGGCTCTCTGCCCACATAATTTTCCAAGCAAGAATATTGGAGTAGGGTGCCATTTCCTACTCCAGTGGATCTTTCTGACCCAGGGATCAAACCTATATCTCCTGCATCTCCCGTGTCTCCTGCAGGTGAATTCTTTATCACCAGCACCACTTGGGAAGCCCACAGAGACAGCAGGCGACTGCAGACAAAATCACGGATGGGCTCTGGAATGGGTTTGCTCCATGCATGTGATTTATCTCTTATAATTGGTGACAGTGTTATATACTTTGGCCACCTGATGCGAAGAAAAGACCCTGATGCTGGGAAAGATTGAAGGTGGGAAGAGAAGGGGGCGACAGAGGATGAGATGGTTGGATGGCATCACCAACTCAATGGACATGAGTTTAAACAAGCTCCAGGAGTTGGTGATGGACAAGGAGGCCTGGCATGCTGCAGCCCATGGGGTCGCAAAAAGCTGGACATGACTGAGTGACTGAACTGAACTTTACTGATTAGAGACAATGTTATGTCAGGGCTTGTTATGCCCAAGAAAAACCTTGATTTAACATGATACACCAGAAAAAAAAAAGAAAGGAAAAAAGATATTATAAATGAAATATGACCACCTGCTACATTCTGTGACATTACTATCTGAAGTTCTGTGTGAATGTGTTTTTATGATGAAATTACATAGCTTGCTGTCTCAATCTGATCATTCCTATCTGTGAAGTCTGACCAGAAACTCTCCAGTGTCTGAGTCACCAGTTTTAAACGTCTTATTAAATCAATTTCCCCACCTCACCCTGTTTATTTGCTGTTTATAATTCAAGAAAAAGATTGCCTAAAATGTAAAAATAGGAGAATTAGCCAACTAAAATATACTTAAATGGACTAACTTATGTTACACAGTGGATGCAAGTTAAGAGCAAGGAGACAACAGGTGAAGAAATCTACCACAATGCTAGCAGATGGAGAAACACGCTAGAGAATGGTATTCTGTGATTTAGCAGATGAATTGCATGTGATCCCAGACAAGGCCTTTGGAGCTTAGATGGCCACGACCTGCTGCTCTGCTTCTGAAGCTCAGTCCCCGCCATGATCAAAAGCAGACACCACTGGATCTGGAGGCCCTGGGGAGACCCTGAGCAGCAAACCTTCCATAGAGTCTTGCTCTGCTCTGTGCTTCTGAGTCAAGTGAGAATTTCACACACAACCTACAACTTGCTTCCATTCTAGAATAACACAGAATAACTTATAAACACACTTCTTCCTTTACTCTGCAAATCTTGCCAGTAATCTTTGCCCAAAGGTATGATAAAAAGATTAAATACTTGCTCTAACATTGGCATGACTACACAATAACTCTGTATCTGCATCTCCCTATATTCATACTGTATTTATCCATGTATAGAAAACATACAGTAAAAGCACCATTATTGTTGCAGAAACCAAGCACCACACCTGGAGAGTTGGAGAACTCAGGTTTATTACGCCTCCGGGCCCAGAGGAGTTAACACTCCAAGCTCTGAGCCCAGAACAAAGGGGTTATGAAGTTTTTACAGGCAGACTATAGTGGGCAACATTAGATGCCAATAGGCTGGTTTAAACTAGGGGGTTTTGCATGCGTGGGAATAGCGATCAAGACGGGGAGGGGAATGCCTGACCTTTACAGGGACAGGCATGATTAAGCAGGTTTGCAGGGGCTGGGCAACTGCAAAGAGCAGGACAAGGGTGAGTGAGATCAGCTCCAGTTCCTAGTATTGTAAGTCCCCACTTTCCAAGACTATGTGACCTACGTGATCCAAACGTGATCCAAGGGGCAAGCTGAGTTACAGAGACAGAACAAGCAGGAGGTTATGGAAAATTTTAACTTTTCCTCTTCATTATGAGACTGAGACAATTTGTTTGACTAGGGGTCCCAATTTGAAATGTTGAGCACATTGTATTGATAGATGGTATAATTTTAAATTTAGAGTTTTTACTATTTAATGTTCTAATGCTGTATTAGTATATTTATTTTAGACATGCAGATTTTAACTACTCTTCTAACAGGGTTTTAGTGTTTATTTCTCACTTGTTACATGACTAAATGAGGAGTCTATTTTATGCATCTTTAATTTATATACCATTAATTTGACAAAAAATAAAACAACTGAAAAAGCAATGGGGATTTTAATATTCTCACAAATTTTGATCAGTACTGTTCTCTGTCTAAATAAAATTCTAAGTACTTAAAGCAAGCTGATGTCTACATAAGTGAGGGTGTAAAAGTAGAGAACCAAATGCATCAGTTATAAGCCCACATAAGCTGCTTAAGTATATGTCTAATCAACATAACAAAATAATTGTTTACTTTCTATATCATTTGCAGAATATGGAGAAAAGGTGAGCCATTTAACATTTCAATAATCTGATTAATAATATTCTTAAAAACATTAATCAGGAAGAAAAAGGTTTCTGTGGGGGCTTGGTTTTGAATAAGTTACGTCTCAGAGAATATGCTGCTCTACCACCAGGAAGATATATTTAAATCTTTTGGTGCTAATTTTGCAATTTAAAATAAGTAATAAACTACTTTTATTCCATTAGGTTAGTATTTGATAAAATGCAAATACAACAGTAATATTCATTGAGAGGAGCATCTAAACCATGAAAATAATCCACTTTATTAAGCATTAAGGCAACAATAAACACATGCTTTTAATGTTCATCTCAGCATTTTCCAACTTGTTACATAAATTCTTGCAGAAGCAGTGATGTGTCCAAGAAACCAAAAAATGACACTTCCTCAAATACAATCAGAACACCCTAGGGAGTGCAGATGGCCATTATAAAGCTAAATGATATTCATTATTAGTACTATGTCCTAATGAATATCTAATACTCATACTTGAGTGTGGTATTTCAGTGAAATTATCAATTATTTATACTGGAAATCTCCAAGGAAGCTGCAAATTTAGGAAGACTATATGACAATCCAATACAAATAATAAACCACCTTCCTGACCTCAGGATTCACTGATAACTCTTGGGACATGTATAAATTCTTCATGTACTCTGTGCTCAGCGTCCAACTCTTTAGGGACTCCATGGACTGTAGCTCGCCAGGCTCCTCTGTCCATGGAATCTCCCAGGCAAGAATACTGGAGTGGGTTGCCATTTCCTTCTCCAGGGAATCTTCTCCACCCAGGGATAAAACCTGCATCTCCTACTCTGGCAGGCGGATTCTTTACCAGCAGCCCTATAGATAGTGTCTATAATGCTAAATATTCACCATTATTGGCAATGATATTAAGTACCGAAGAAGAGCTCACTCATGCTTTCTGTTACCTCCAATGACTGCAGAGTCACTTTTGATTGTATTAGTGAGGGGTTCTCTGTCATCTCTTGTTCCAGAATGATCTACATTAAAGGACAAAAAAGAGGGGAATGGGGTGATATAGGATAGTGAAAAGAAGACTTTTTAAAAATTCACAAACAGTTTAAATCAGAACAGAATTATAGAGGTCAATGTGGGATGTCTGTAACTGTAAACTTATGCAATACCCACATGAAATGGCCCATATAAATAACGAATTGAGAATCGAGAATCTAAAAAAGAAATGGGAAAGAACCGAAGGTTAAAACCAGTTTTAAGAATCCATTTCAAATACCTATGGCTGTTTCATGTTAATGTATGAAAAACCAACACAAGGAAAAGTGACAATGTTAGTCGCTCAGTCTTGTCTGGCTCTGCGACCCCATGGACTGTAGCCCATTAGACTCTGTTCATATAATTCCCCAGGCAAGAAAACTGGAGTGGGTCCTCATTCCCTTCTCCAGGGGATTGTCCCAATCCAGAGATCAAACCTGGGTCCCTTGCACCGCAGGCGAATTCTTTACCGTCTAAGCCACCCGGGAAGCCCAACCAACACAATACTGTCATCATCCTCCAATTAAAAATAAATGAAGGAAAAAGAAATCATTTTGGGAATACAGCGTCACGGAAACATCAGAAGCTTTAACATTCGGGGGACGTGCCGTTTGTGACTGGGTAAAGGAAAACCATACGCCACCTGCAAAGGAGTGTGTCCTCTCCCTAGATGTGGCATCAGTGCCAGCCTGGGCCACGCAGCTGGACTCCGTCACGTGTCCCGAGACGGTGATGGGGGCGGGGCGGCGGGGCTGCAGGGCGGCCTTCAGCGGGGCCACGTGGCCGACCTGCACAGCAGACAGACAGCCCAGGAAGCCCTGTGCGCCCGCCAGCGCTGTCTCCTGGTCCACGTCGCTGTGTCCTGTGAAGCCAAAGACACGTGGCGGTGCTGGTAACACAGAGGGCGCCCACAGGCAACGCCACAGTGCAATAGTCTGAGTCTTGATGACGCGGCAGCAACATGTACTCAGCTACTACATTCCTTTCGCTTTTGTCTTTATTACGAGAGATCCACTAAGTCTTTCCACAACTACGGGTGACATATCCCAGGTTAATGAAGACAAGTGTTTAAGCATGGCTAATTAAATATATTGAGAGCTCTCTGGAAATCATTAAAGCCTCTACAAGAATGGGTCCAATAATGAACTGACCTGGGTTCCTGCAGATATTACATAAGAGGCCGTATCTCAAAGCTGTCAGGGACTCTAACTCTTCATGTCCAGCTGTGAAAATGTTCACCCCGTGCAGCCTTCACTGCCTGTTTCACTGTCCACCTAGCACTCAGCCCTAGACAGTGTGCGTCCCCTATAGCTAGAAAACCCTCCCCCCCATTTTAATGAGCATTTGGTTAATATGGGACTATTGTGGGACAGAGACTGGTTTGAATGTCAAAATATTAATTCATAATTTTACAGTGGAGAAGATATTTCATGCTTGGCAAGCATGAAATCTAAACAAGGGGCATTAATTGTAGAGTTTTAATATTCAAACGGTATCAGTCTATGATACATCCACCCACTCAACTTGATCATAAAACAGTAGGATTCCTCTTCCCTCTGCTGCACATATGTGGACGCCAACATCTGCATTTCGGTCTCTCTTTTTAAAGTGAAAGTGTTAGTCGCTCAGTCGTGTCCAACTCTTTGAGACCCCATGGACTGCAGCCCACCNTTTTTTTTTTTTTTTTTTTTTTTTTGACTTGAGAGCTATTCTTGAAATGACTCTGGGCAACTCAATTCTGATTGAACCTGTCTTTGCTATATCAAGGTTTTCGAAGAACACTTACTTTTGTTCCATTTTCATTCACATTTTATGCCTTTTAAATAAAAATACTGATTAGATGTTTAGTATCATGAGTATCACAGTACATTAAAACAATCTGAAAATTAGAGAGTTTATACTACGTTCCTGTTTTGCTGGGGGATACAGTATTCAGACCAAGGCGTTCCGGCTCTGGAGGCTGTGTTTTTACCACCAGGCTATCCTGCCTCCCCACACAAAGAGCCCTGAGAGGCAATCTGCTTCATTACCTTTGTGTATAAACCAAAGAACTAACTCAGTCCCGCCACACAGCAGCCACCCGTTTGAATGGATGGAAATACATTCAAACATACATATTTTTAGAAAAAGAGAGCATTCTTGCTTTAGAGTTTTGTTTTTTGTTTTTAAACTCCAAAAAGAAATAAAAAGGAATATACTTTAATAGCAACATAATCAGAACAGTGCTTCTCATATTTCTTCTCCAGGGTTAAAATCTTGAATAACACGTCTATAGACCTTAAAAAAAAAAAACTTACCTTTTGAATAACAACAACAACAAAAAGTAGATAAATAAGATTCACTTCTCTGGTAAAAACTTGATATGAGGCAACTTTTAAAAATCCTATACCTTTAGACTGAAAATATCTACCTCTTATAAAATATTGTATAAAAAAAGGTTTAAGCTCCAAAACTTCAAGTGGCCAATCAATATTTGTTTTAAGAGCTAAATGTACAGGAAACACATTCCCTGCTGTTCGAGCATCTTATATTCTAGCAGGGGAGACAATAAACATGAAACAGGAATGGATGAGAATTTTGAAGACTGATAATGCTATGAAGAAGTAAATTAGAAAGTGTGATGGAGTGGATATGGAACAGAAATTTATCTTGATGGATTAGGTGATTTTTCTGTGTGTCTGTTTTAAGGATGACTCTGCACAGCCCTATTTTCTTAGTCATCTGTACATATTACTCCAGTGTCTTCTGGCTCTTCTTTCTTACATTTTGCAAGATTCCCTATGATTTAGGGATTTTTTTAATCTTATTGCTCCTGTTGTATATCTCCGCTCATCAGTTATGCATAGAACATGGTGGGCCCTTCTAATCTGCAGCTTGGAAAATTCCATATGTTGAGTGTGCAACCACTGGTTCAGTTTCACCCCTTGTATACTTCTGGACTGCCAAGTATTCATGCTGACCCTCCTCTGCGTGAATATTAACTGCCTTTAATTTCCCTCCTGATTTCTTTTAGGACTTGTTTTTGTGTGGGTCCATGGCTTCATTCACACAAGGAGCAATAGTTAGAAATGGACATGGAACAATGGGCTGGTTCAAAATTGGGAAAAGCATCAACAAGGGTGTATACTGTCACCCTGTTTATTTAACTTCTTCTTTTTTTTTTTAATGTAAATATTTTTTTTTTAATTTCAGTGAATTTTTTTTTAATTAGTTGGAGGCTAATTACTTTACATCATTACAGTAGTTTTTGTTATACATTGAAATGAATTAGCCATGGATTTACATGTATTCCCCATCCCAGTCCCCCCTCCCACCTCCCTCTCCACCTGATCCCTCTGGGTCTTCCCAGTGCACCAGGCCCGAGCACTTGTCTCATG